TGTTCACTACGGTAGTTAATCAGCACCCCATGCAAACCCGCGCTAAGTCAGGAGTTTTTAAGCCTAAAACAATTTTTATTTTAAGTACAGTTATTACTCCTGCAGATCCTACCTGTTTTACTGAGGCAAATAAACATTTAAAATGGCGTGAGGCGATGGCTGATGAATTTAATGCACTCATTAATAATAATATGTGGGACTTGGTGCCCTTTGATAGCCCTAAGAATATTGTTGGGTGTAAGTGGATTTATAAAACTAAATATCATTCTGATGGATCCTTAGAGCGCCATAAAGCTCGATTAGTTGCACATGGATTTAATCAGCAGGCAGATATTGATTTCTCTGAATCTTTTAGTCCTGTAGTAAAACCCACCACTGTTCGTATTGTACTTACTCTAGCTATTTCTTTAGGGTGAGTTATACTACAACTTGATGTTAAAAATGCCTTCTTGCATGATCATTTGACAGAAGAGGTTTATATGCGTCAACCCCATGGTTTTATTCACCCTCAGATTGCTAATCATATCTGTCGTCTGCGCAAGACCATTTATGGCCTTAAGCAAGCTCCACAGGCCTGGTTTCATAGATTCAATAGTTTCCTTCTACAACATAATATTTCCTGTAGTAAATATGACAATTCTTTATTCATTTACCGCCAGAATAATACCATTATTTATTTATTATTAGATGTGGATGATATTATTATTACTGGTAATTCTGAGTCATCTGTTACCCAATTTATTTCGATTATCTCTAATCATTTTGCTATGAAAGACTTGGGTAATCTCCATTATTTTCTGGGTGTTGTCTCTTTCTGATGGTGAGTTACTGTCTGATTCTACTGAGTATCGCAGCATGGTTGGTGCATTATAATATTTAACTTTGACACGACCAGATATTACTTATGCAGTACACTTAGTGTCTCAGTTCATGCATGCTCCTCGTACCACTCATCTTTTTGCAGTCAAAAGAATTTTTAGGTACTTGCAGGGAACACGAGATCATGAGCTATGGCTTCAGCAGACTAATCGGCCCACCTGTATTGTTGCTTACTCCGATGCTGATTGGGTAGGCTGTCCTGATAGTTCTCGATCCACCACAGGTTTTGCTGTCTTTTTGGGTCCCAATTTGGTTTCTTGGAAGACTAAGAAGTAGCCTACCGTGTCGAAGTCCTCCACAGAAGCAGAACATCGTGCCATTGCTTACACAGTTCAAGACAGCCTGCATATTTGGTCGATACTGTTCGAACTTGGATGGCCAATCACAGAGCCGGTACATTTATTGTGTGATAATATCTCTGCTTCTTATTTGACGGCAAATCCAGTTCAGCATGCCTGCAGTAAACATATTCAGATTGATTATCATTTTGTTCGCGAACGGGTTACTCATGGAGATTTGATTATTAAGCACGTTCCTACTCATCTACAGCTAGCAGATATTTTCACTAAAAGTCTCTCTAGTTAACGTTTTCATTTTTTAAAAGACAATCTGCGCGTTGTATCTCCCGCACAGCTTGAGGGGGTGTAATAGAATTATTAGAGACTTAGTATTGTACTTTACATTAAACTCTCTTTAATATAAATATATCTGACCGGCTCCTTAGGGAGTAACCTTTCCATTATTCTCATAGAAGCTACAAAAGGGAGATGATAGAGTGGCGACCGCATCTAGGTCGTCCATCGGTCAGCAGAAGGGATCAGAGAGCCATGGTCTCCAGGAGCTCTAGGAACAAGAATCTTTTCTCTGGTACCCAGACATGGCGATTGCGAGCCAGAGGTGACGACTCAGCATACCAACGGCCTTTTCTTAGAAGAGATTCCAGACATTTTAGGCGTAAATGGGATTTCCCATATAAAAGGAATAAGGTTTTGCTGAATAATCAAGCCGATCAAACTAATTTGTGGCAACGACGCAATTTTGCCAAGAAAAATGTAGTCTGGAGCGAATTATCTTCCAAGTTTGATGTTTTGATCGAAAGCAAAACTTTTAGTTTTGAAATTGTTGATGACTCTACTATCCGTATCTCTGAAACAAAGTTAGGAATTTCATCTTCTCTTGAATTAGACATTTTCAGGGCATCGTGGTTAAAGGAATCCATTCCTAAGGTCTTTGGAGTAAAACGGTCTTGTAATAGAATAATGTTGGATAATGCATTTCTTATTCTTTATGATATGAATTTCTATAGAGGTTTTATCCGAATAATTGATAAGGGACGAGACTTTATTTATACCAGAGGGGCACAATGGAATAGGTATTAATCTTTTTCTTAAAGGGATTACAAGAGCAATATCTTTGATGGAAAAATCAGTCCAACCACCAATACTAGCGATTGCAAATGCTTCCGAGGAGGTGTGCTCAGAAATTGTGGGTTCAAATAACTTTGATTTTGATTTCCATGTTTTGGATAAGGGATGTTCTGGGCAGACAGATTTCTCCATTTCAGGTGCTTTGTTTCAAATCAATATTGAGCAGGAGTTGATTTTCGATGATCGCTCTGAGAAAATTCCTGAAGTAGATGAATATTCAAATCTTAAGGATTTCTTTGAGCTTACTTTGTCAAATGGGGTGGACTCACTCTCTTTCAATGAGTTTGAGAGACTCCTAATTAAACATGATAATTTGACTTTGGGACCCACTTATGAGGGAAAAGCTATTGTAACGGATATTGTTTTGGAGAAAGCTGAGCATCAGCCGCCTAGAGTACCAGAGTCTGGACGTCTTGGTGTTCTTTCTGATGCTTTTGTTTGGGATGGTTATTGTGATGACTCCTGCTATTCATGTTCGGGGGATGAATTTCTTGGTCATGCTTCCGAAAATGAGAAGAGGGTACCAATCTCAACATTGGATGATTTATGGGATTCTGCTGCAAATGAAGATATTTGTGTCAAAGCTTCAAGGGTTACACAAGATAATTGCTTACCTACACATAATTTGAACACCCAGAAAAGAATGTTCAGAAAAAAGAATTAACGACCGCATCTTATGAAAACAAGATCTCAATCACGAACAGGGCTTTGAAGATTTGATCGAGGGCTCGGGGTTATCTAGATAGGGATTAGCTTTGGGTCGGGTGTTTTCCTATTTGTTTCTTCTCGTTATTATCTTTTTTTTTTGTTTTCTTTCCTTTCATGTACTCGCGGCCAAAAAATTGGGAAACCTTTTCGGGACGGAGGTAGTATTAAATTGTTCTTATTCTTACTTAGGTAATTTCTTTTTAATTTAATAACCACCCCATTGTTCTAAATCAAGCGTAGTAATATATTAATATTTCTAAATTCAACATCATCTATCATCATCATCATTCATCACCATCATATACGTACGTATACAAAAATGAAGACTAAAAATAGAATTGTTTTTTAAAAAACCTCTTGATTTTAAGTAATTAAATAAAATATTATTACTCCTTATCTCTTTGTCCCTCATAATAAGGTCTAAGCGATTGAGTCACCGTGTCAACCTCTCAAATCCCTTGTCGAGTCGGGATGTGAGGAGTCTTGAGATCGGGGATTGAAATATTGAATCTTTAGAACATTTTTTTATAGTGTTATTTTCTCTGTATTAGAAATGAGACGGTGGACCAAGCACGACTAGAGAGGGAATCTTATTTTTCTTTTTAGATGAGAAGCGATGAGCTTTAACACCAATTTGTAGTTTTGTGCAGCCCGCCTTCTTTAATCTCGCTGTCACTGACATGAACGACTGAGAAGCTTAAGAAACAAAGAAAATGTACTACAGATTATGACTGACTAATAAAATGATGATCAATGAATGAATGGACCGAAATGGAATCGTAAAAAAAACCAATTAATAAAAAAATAAACTACTGACCGAAATGAATCGTAAAAAAATCAATTGACCAAAATAGAAACCGACGAAGATTTGGCAATTTCATTTAGTGTGAGATTAGGGTATTGAATATGGATTCTAGTGGACTTTTCTTTATCCACGGATTTTTAAAAAAGTCAAATAGTCACTTTTAAATTCTAGTGAGTTTTGTCCGTTCGATCATTTTAAACTTCTAATTTTATGGATATAAATTCCCTATTAATTTTTTTTGAAAAGTATAGATAAAAAAAGCTGAAATGAATATGGATTATTGATTTATTAATTATTGAGTTATTTTATTTGGGCTAACTAGACGGTACAAAACTAATGGGCAGACTAGGCATTTGGGGGGGTATTTTTTTATTGGAGACATTTATATGGGTTTAAAAATCCTTAATAAATTATAGAGAATTATTTGGTTGGAATAGCTGACCCACATATTTAAGATGTGTATTCGTCCTTGCGTGCATGGGCACACATGCATTATACTACGTACGATAGTATTTTTTATTGGAGGGTTGAGCTATTGAGTCCCCCTCCAGCCTCTCCCTGTGTTCTGACCCATAATATCCCCTATTAATATCAGCAAAGATTTATGATGCCCTATAGTTGGTTACATATATTAAAACTACAAAGGAAATTTGGAACATAATAACCCAAATTTAAGGCCCGTTAGCACCGCTTGGGTAAACCCATAGGCCCAATGTTAATATTTTGAACCTTTGATCCACTAAGACAGTGTTTGCAAATACTTTTGTTTTAAAAAACATTGTTTGAAGTGATTTCGGAAAAAGTGATTAATAGTAAACGTTGATGGTGTTTGAGAAAATATTGATTTTGAAAAGTAAAGTTGATAGTGTTTGGTAAAATATGTGCCTTTTGTGTAATAGAAAAAGTAAAAAGCAATTTTCAGTCAAAAGTCGAGAAGTTCTTTTTTAAGTAGAAGTTGTCCTTGGAAAAATACTAATTTTAACATTTTTAAATCAAAAGGCAAGAAACTTTTTTTAAGTTATTGCAAACACTCCACGTCTACGATTGGACATTCTATATTTAGGAAGACTAAAAATAGTAAAGAAAAGTTTTAAACAATCACGGACTACCTTTAACGTCACCGTTTGGTTATACCACGCAATATGCCTCTAAACGACACCGTTTGAGTTTAGCCGTGTTCACGGAATTTCTACGTATAAACAGGTTCAGCCAAATGGAATTCTCAGTGAAGTTCTATTAGCAGTTTAGCAGCTCAAGTTTTTTCTGGAACTGGGGCGACTGAGTCAACTCGTTCGCTGGGTCGTCTCAACTCTCAAGGCTTCCTTCGGCTACGAAATACCCTTCTGCATTGCGTTCTTTCTCATCACCTCGCGCCATTCGGATCCGTGAGTTTTCAATCTCTGTTCTTAATTCGTTGAGTCAATATATATGTTTTCACGCACCTACGCCGTCGGGTCGCACAAAAATCCATTAATTCCTTCAAATCAGTTTCTTAAAGTAGTTTAATTGGTCTGTTTCTTCCTCCTAATTTTCATTATTGCATCTTTCATCCTTTATCCTATAATTTGTTAAATTAGTTAGTAAGTTCAGTTTGGATTTTTTAGGCTCTTAGGAAACTTCTGAAAAACCTATGATAAAAATGTTCGACCTTGAAATTATGAGTCATTTGAAAATATCAGCTTGGTGTGAATTTGTGACCAATGATCTGGAAATGGATACTTTTGTCTGTTTTTGCATGAATTTTGATTAGGCGATGGATAGGGGTCTAATGACGTGCATTGATCTATCCCGGAATTTGGAATTTAGCTTAACAATATGGTATAAAGTTCCGCTTACATTACATTAGGGTGGGACTGAATGGACACAGTTGAACTTAGGCACCAATTTACCATTCTTGGAATGTCGCAGTTTTTGTTTCCAAAACGGCAAAACCTTTCTATGGACGTTATGGCTTGCTGCTGTTAATATTATACTGATACAGTGATACGTGCACGGTGAAGGTATCCAGAGGTGGGTAGGGTTGAAGGAAAAAAGGAGTCATATTGACGCAAATGATTGTAGAGTAGGCCTAAATAGAATAGGAAACAACCAAGATCGATAGAAGTCCACAGATATTAACCAACTTAAGAGTTTGGTATTTCCTAATTTTGGCAAGTTAGCTATATTAGAAATATCTTCATTAGTTTTTAATTTGTAATCAAGCAAATGAATAGTGCTTTCTTCACAGTTATTTGATAGTTTCACGTTTTGCAAGTTTTTGCTTAGTCAGGTATAAATTGATATGTCCTTGGTGTTCGTCTTGAAAATGGAAATTGCTAGGGAAAGAGTGAAAATTGCTAGGGAAAGAAAAAAGAGAGGAAAATATAACCGAAAATTTGGAAGTCAATGAAATGTGAGGAAAATCAGATTTTTAATTATTATTCAAACTCTATTGAATATATTTTGGTATTTGTAAAACTCATTCATTTATTCATTTGTCATTTTCTGTGGTAAAACGAAACACAAGAGTTCAAGGAAATAAGGAACTAACTTAGCTTTGTTTCCTCTTTCCATATCATTTTATGAGACCCATACAGACCCATGAGGCTTTAGACTTAAATCATACACGCTGTATAAAATTGGAAGTTTTCTTGATATAATTTCTCTGCAGTTTTGTTGGAAAACTTAAAGTAGAAGAGGTAGAGCTTATTTTTCTTCGGTTTTTGTTAAAGATTTAAGAACCATTTTTTGTTGGAACCGTTTTTGTAGAATTTCAAACCATGAGTTTTGTTTTCCGAGGAACTAGAGCTGATATAGAATCTGGATTTCCGGGTGTGATCCCCGAACGTCGTGCTATGGTATTTCCTATGCCTTTGAAATCCTCATTTCTTTCATGATGTTCTTTTTAAGGAGTTTGGACTTTGGACTAATTCTTGAATTCTACTTCTGACAGCGAATTCATCCTGCACGACCTGTTAATACCAATTCTCTTGCTTTTCTTGTCACTGGTATCTTTAACTTAATTGATCTCTATTGAATTTGTACTTACCATTATATGTATTAATGTTTCCTCCCAAAATATCTATAGTAATGCATATATTGTTGTTGCAACAGTTCTGTTGCTGTTTATGATTCTAAACTCTCATCAAATGTCACCTAATTTTCTGGTTGGTACTCAACTGTTCTCTTTTATTTTGACTTTCTGAAAAGGAAAAAAAACTGATGTAAAGTAAGTAATTTTTCAGCTCTGGTTGGTGCTTGGTGTATTTGCAATAGCAACTACACTCAGGATGTATGCCACCTGTCAACAACTTCAAGCTCAAGCACACGCTCATGCTGTTGCTGCCAGTGGCCTTCTTGGTCATACAGAGTTGAGGTTGCATATGCCTCCATCCATTGCACTTTCAACTAGAGGACGGTTACAAGGCCTCAGGCTTCAGCTTGCTCTTCTTGACAGAGAGTTTGATGACTTAGGTGTAAATCCATTTATTTCAAAAATATATTTCTTTCATTGATTCTTCCCATTTAGAAATATTACCTCCGGTCCTTATTTTAAAGCACTTTTTGAAAAGGTCATTGGTACTTCCCCATAATAAATGTTGTGTCCATAATTTACGAGGTAGTGTCGAAGACGGTAAAATTGGAATATCGTACTTCCTCAGCCCCGCAATTAAAGTCTCAGTATGACGTTACGGTCTTCTAGGTAGACGTTTGACTCTAATATTTAAAAATACATATTTATAAATTCTATAATGAATTAACATTTGAATAATATATATTGCAATGAAGTATATGGAATTAATTTTATGTGATAACAATAATGTGAGTTTTGAATAATATATGGTCAATGTTTATAACATTTGACTCAAAAGACAAATTTAGACTTTTATTGAAGGATGGATGGAGTAATATATTTTAGAAACTGAAGAAAAATTAACCACTTCCATTTGTTAGTGTAACATGGTCAATTGTGCCTCATAGACTAATGGCAAAAAAAATATTATTCATTGAAATTTTTGAAAGCTTTGCATTTCTTGAAGATGAATCATTTCTTTTGTTGTTGATGTTGCTACTTTCTAGATTATGAAACTCTGAGGGCACTGGATGCTGATAATGTTCCTGAAGTTCCTTCAATGACTGAGGAAGAGATAAATACTCTACCTGTTCATAAATACAAGATGTCTGGGCATCAAAGGTTAGTTAATGGGTTTCTTCATTTAAAAAAAATCTTTAAAGGGTAACTTCGTCCCTCAATGTGGTCTGCAGTTCTAGTGTTCTACACCTTTTGACTGCATTATAAGTTAAGGCAAAATGCAAGAGAAGAGTTGAATTTTTTATTACTATGTATTTACTTGTAAAGTGAACTACTTTTATGTAGATTTTCTTATGGTCTGTTAACCAATTTAGTGCCATACCATGAATAGTAATGGTTCATGACTGAAAAGCATGTTTTCCAGGTGCAGTTATGAAACATTAAGAATAAAACCCCATTGCTCCATGCCTCCATGAGCATTGGTCCACTGAGTTCTTAGTGTCTGTTCACTGAATGCTTTTTTATTTGTACAATTAGTGGCTCACTTGGACAATTCAACCTCTAGGATGCCACTAATTGTTAAAAAGACAAACATTAAGTGGTTGGAGCATTGAAGTTGTTTCACTTGTACTCCACTCCACATAGGAGTATATTTTTGTGAACCACCGTCTAGTACTTGTTTGGGAAGGACAATTTCACTACTAAGTACTAACCATGGATGAAGTTATCCTCAATATCGATTGGTATACTGCCATGTTTCCTTTTCATAGAATTCCTAATATCAATACAAGAATTATCAATAAATTTCCATTGATAATTTCTTAAAAATGATGTACTGGTACTAACTAAAGTCTAACCATTCTACCTTTTGTAGTACTGTTTCATCAGCACAGCAAGCATCGTGCTCGTCCCCAGTCGAGGATAAGGTTGTTCTTTTTTTCCTTACCCCTGTAAAGGGTTTTTCTTTGCAAGTATATTTCTGAAAGTGACAGCTTCTATAAGTTGATTTGTAGGATGAGTATTATCTCAGAAGAAAGCTGCATGCCTTATTATTTTACCTTCATATTTTGCATGCAGAAAAAGCAAGAAGCAGCAAACTTTGCAGTGTCAGCAAAGCTTGCAGACGATGAACTAACTTGCAGTGTTTGTTTGGAACAAGTGAATGAGGGAGAACTCATTCGCAGCTTGCCATGCTTACATCAGGTTGTCTCCTCTCTATGTTTTTGATCGTTTGCTAAATCCGTCCCTAATCCATCTAAGAGATAATATTTCAAGTCTATACTTACTAAATATACCCCATTTACTTAATTTAATAGTTCAGAATACTCTGTTTTTATGGTTATAGCCTGATCACAGAAAATGCTAGTGTGAGGATTGTTTTTTGAAAAAAAGTTGCGTAGTATTTGCTTATGTTGGGCTTTGTCTCGGAAAGGAAATTCAAAGTTGAGCAAGTATTTTCAACCTTTTACACGTACTAGATTAATTAGTACGGAGTATTTTGATAGAATGACTCTATTGCCCCCCCCATATTTTCTTTCATTCTAATTGTTCTTTCTATTTCCTCTGCTTTCTTTCTCCTGTACCTTAAGGGGTCCAAATGGACCCTACTTCTGACATTCATTATTGTTAAAATATCTGCATTCATTCCCAGCTAGGCTCCGTTTGAAAGCGTAGCTTTGTATCTGCATTTATTCCCAGCTAGGCTCTGTTTGGATGCATCGTTTTTTTTACAGTTCATTGAGCACCTATATCTACTTAAGGTATATTTGGGAGTTGTGTTTTGGAGGAGGGGGAAGGTTGACAAGGGTTTATGATCCTCTCTTTCATGTTTGGGAGTTTAAAACTATGGAGGGATGATTTTGGAAAGCTTTTGTAACCCACCAAAACCTTTCAAATGCTCAATTTTCAAGTTCCTCCAAATTGGAGAATTTTAAAGGATTACTAATTAAATGACAACTTAAGCTCAATTTTAAAGAAATATAAATTCAACTATTTGAATTCATCATATATGTGAAATGATTTTAATTACGTAGTATAACTCATCCATAACCTCTATCTTTTCAAATATGTTACTCCCAAACAAGAAGAAGGGTTTACTATCCTTCCCTCCCTCTTTCCTTGACTAACCTTCAAATCCTTCCCCTCCTCTTTCCTTCAAATCCCAAAAAAAGAATGACACCTCATCCTTGAAGACCCCTCAGAACCGATCGGAGAGTATCTGAGAGGATGTAAGTTGAGCTTTGATCACACTTTTATGGAAAGAGTGGGGTTCATCACAAGTCATTGCTTGGAGTTGAACATGAGACCTCTCCCTTGTAGTACCCTCTTCTTACCAAATATACGCTTAGAGTCCTAATCACGGTTGATCCCCAACTAGTTAGCTTTTTCCTACACCATGGTGCACAGTGATACACATTTTGGGGTGCTGTAAGAAACTTGTGTTATGGACTATTTGATGGCGTGATAACATTTTGCTCTTTTTTCTCTTTGTTGTTGCAGTTCCATGCTAGTTGCATTGACCCTTGGCTTAAGCAGCAGGGGACATGCCCTGTCTGCAAATTTAAGGTTGGGTCAAGATGGGAAAATGAAGCTGGAGAAATGGATGCCTCTTACATGGTTTAACATTTGCGGAAATGTTCAGTTTTCTTTAATATAAGATGAAAGTATAAGATGAGTATCATGTGTAGGTGCGTAAATATTCTTTAAAGTGTTGTTTGGTGGAAACGCAAGTATGTAACCACATGTAATGTAATAATTTTTGAAAGTAAAATTATACTCCGTAGTACATATGTATCGGTGTATGGTGATTACATAACACTGCCTTCTTATTCCGTCTACCAAACATCCTAAAAGTTTCTTATTACGTGACGTAAGCAATGCAGTTAAACTGATACTTGAGGCCGTGAGGGGAGTTGAGGCATCCTCAAAAGCCGCAGGAAATTGTGTTTCTTGCTTCGAACTTCTTTTTCACCATAGATTTTTCCAAGTATTTTACTCCTAACTCCTAAGGATGGACTCGGTCGGTTCAGACCGACCCATTACCCAGCCCGGACCGTTACTGTGCGGGACCGGGCTTTGGGGCCCGAACCAGGAGTAAAATGGGGTGGGCTTCGGGACCTTGGTTTAGTGGACCGATCTGGGTCTTTTTTTGGGTTTTTGGCATTGGGCCCTACTAAGTGGGTTGGGTTGGGTGTTTTGGTGGGGTTTGGGGATGAGAGGCAGAGAGGGTAGAAATAAATTAGAAAAGATTATTTTTTTTTAAAATGACCTGACCCGACCCGATCCCGGTTCAAACCCTGGCCGGTACCGGACCTTCGGTCCAAATCGCCAGTGCTGCTCAATCCCAATCCAGGACCCGGCTTGAACCGGGACCGGTCCATCCCTACGAACTGGTAATGTAGTCTTGATGTACTCATCTGAATATCAATAAACTTGTAAAAATCTAAGATTTGTACGTGGTCTTACCTATTTGCCTTGTCATCCTCAATTCTACACGTGTCCTAGCTCTTTCAATTCTGAGTAGCAGGGCCCAATGCCAAAAACCCTGCTAGGACACGTTTTTATTCGGGCAATGACTCGGTACGTGGTCTTCCTCCTCCTATTAGTTTTTATTACTTTATCATTTGGTTTCTTGTTACCTTCAATGTTGTTAGGTTTGTCAGTTTTTTTGAGAATTTAGCCTCTTTTTATGTCATTGGGTATGTTTGGATCTATGGGAACAGAGATGGATGTGTCAAGTTCGCTGCATGGTTAGCGATTCGTGTTGCTCTTTCAGGGGTAACCGTCTCTAAGTTTGTTCATAGGGTTTACAGTCGTGGTTTTTAGAGTTTAGTTGGTGTCAGATTTGTTTTTCCTTTGATTGATGTAATGATCCTGAAACTTATGATATGAATAGATGCAAGTTTCCGTTCAAAAAAAGCACTATATTGTTGATGTCATTATTGTGATCATTTCAAGGAGGAATTCATAGATTTGAATCCAATCTCTATTAATCTCTATTAAATATGTTGACATTCACCATAGAATAGATATTAATAAATTAGAAGTACAACAAACAAACATTGAAAAATCGAAAGCCATTTTCATAACCATTCCTAATTTTGTCCATCTCATTCCATCTCAATTCGATCTGCAAGATAAAGATTTTGTATCGAAGTATATTTTTATGAAGTGCCTATATGATATTTACTATCTAGTGATTGACATTGCTAAATACAGAGTAATTGTTTTGTTATCAGGGGCGGATCCAGAAAAGTCATCATGGGGAGCGAAAATATTTCTTGGGGGGTTCAAAATATTTTTTGGGAGGGAGAAAATTATTTTTCATATATATACACTAAAAAAAAATCTTGTTGGGGAGGAGGTAGCCCCCCCGAGTCTGTACTACGGTCCGTCCCTGTTTGTTATGCTTCCATTTTCGTATATTAATTTAGTATATGTGGTGAAACTTTTGAGTCTAGTTTCTCGTAAGATTTAAAAAGAAAATCTAATTGAAATATATTATCTCCGTTCTTTTTTAGTTGCAACACTTTTCTTTTTGGGAAGTTTTAAAATAATTGCAACCTTTCTATTTTAAGACATAAGAGTGTGTGCAAATATCTTTACTAACCTTAATTAATTCACACCCACCACTATGGATGGACCCGGGCCAGGCCTGGGCGGGCTTTTTTTGCAATTCCTTGGGTCCGGAACCGGCCCGGGTTGCTACCGGGCCGGGTCGGGCCGGACCCGGTTCAATACTATTTTTTTTTTTTGCTTTCTTGTTATCCCCCCCACCCTCCCACCCCCCAAACCTCCCCAAAACACCCGGCCCAACCCTAGGAAAAGAAAAAAAATTGAAAAAAAAAAAAATTGACCCGGGCCCGGCCCGAACCGCCTGGGCCGGTTCGTCCAAAACTGGGCTCGAGCCCGCCCCGCCCGACCCGCCCACACGGGCTAAAAGCCCGGAACCGGCCAACCGGGCCCGGTCCGGTCCGGGCCCGCACAGTAGCGGACCGGTCCGGTTCCGGGCCGGTTCGGCCCGACCCAGTCCATCCCTACCCACCACCTCTCTTTTATTCACTCGGTTTCCGTTCTTTTCTTTTAATTTTATCCACCCACTCCTAATTTCTTCGCTTCATATTCTGACTTCTTCTCTAGCTTCTTCTTCAGGACAAAATGGAGATGAATCAATTGAATGAAGATGAAGCTCTACTTTTAGCTCATGATGAGACCTCCTCGCAACTCGGTTGTTCCATACACTGATTTGGTGGTTCCGGACACTCCTCCTCATGTTAATGCGGCAAGTGGCGGATCCAGAAAGTCGGAGTCACGGGGTCCCTACCCTTTTATCTCTAATCTCTAATTAATATAAAACTAATAAAAAAATATTAATGAAGCATAACACTTCAAAGTTAACGTACACCATCAAAAACCATAAAAATCATTCAACAATTCTACAGATGTACCCTCGTAGGCTTCATTTGTTGGAAATATTCTATAATAGAATCATCACTAATAGTAACAAAAACATCTCTCTCAACATATGTAACTAATCGTATAAAATTGAAAATAACATTTATAAATACATGAATTTATTAATTTAATCTAACATTAAAAAAAGATATTCAAAGAAAAGCAGCAAAGTAAAAAAACTTGGGCGACAGCGCGATTTTAAAAAACTGATTTTTATAAAAAAATTGAGACTGGATCAGATTTTTTTTTAAAAAAATTACATATATAATATTGGTGTCATATGAAAGACCACAAAAAAATATGTCATTTGGTATAATTTTTATAAAAATTGGAGTAAAAATGAAAGATTTATGACATTTTATATAAAAAAAAAGAATTACTTGCCACATGACACCATTTTATTGGATGTAGATTGAATGTAAAATTGATATGGGGCAAGCCGTCTGAATGGAGCTGAGCGTGGAGATGCGTAAAGCAATGTTCATTTTAATTAGTAATTAAGAAGGCCAAATTTGTCATGTCATGGTTACCTAAAGCAATTCTGGGGTGCGCAAAGCAACATTTAATGAAATAAAAAAATACTACGTACGTATGTTTTCTAATAGTAGTTAAGAGTCATATATGAAAAAATTACTATGTTTTCTAATAGTAGTCAAGAGTCATATATGAAAAAATACGAATGTTTTCTAATACGTATGTTCACGAGACTTGACCAGATTTTTTTTAAAAATTACATACTCCCTCCGTCCCTTAAAACTTTGACATCTTTCCTTTTTGGGACGTCCCAAAAAACTTTGTCACTTATAATATTGGTGTCATATGAAAGATCATAAAAAGATATTTAATTTGGTATACTTTTTGTAAAAATAGCACCAAAATGAAAAAGTTATGACATTTTATAATAAAAGGAATTACTTGCCACATGGCAACATTTTATTGGATATATATTTAATGTAAAATTGAGATGTGGAGCCTGAAGCAACCCCAAAAAATAGGCCAAAACGACGTAGTTGTGACCTATTTAATTAAAATAGTTTTGGAAAACAAAAAAAGGACCTCAAGGGATTTTGAACTTTGTACCTCCTCCAACATATAAACTTTCAATCCCACATGTGCTCCCATTCCTCTGCTTCGTTCTTTTGGTTCTAAGCTCGTTTTTTGTGTAAATATACATTGAATAATTAATTTTATATAATATATATAATATATATAGGAATTTTTTCCGAGGTGTACGGGGTCCCGTGACCCCGTGGGACCCTTAGTGGGTCCGCCAATGATTGCGGCTCCATATGGTGATTTGGTGGTTTCGGACACTCCTCCTCATGTTATTCCAGCTTGGGAGGTTGAACGTTCAACATCAATTATTCAATAACAAGAAACAAAACCTTGTCAAGGAGTATGATGCCTGAGGACACGATGGTCTATCATCCCATTTTCGGTCTCAAGACCAAGCGGATTATGAGCTTTTTTGAGATACTTTGGCCAAACTAGTTCAAAGACAAAGAGGGTTGTCCCAAAGGTAATTTACCTATTTATCTCTATATAATCTGGGGATCTTTTTTGAATAATTTTTCTTCTCTGGATTTTGAGTTGTGCAAATTAATATTTTTCACTGGGGTTAGTTCTTGTTACGAAGTGGAGTAAACTTGGTTTACTAGGAGTAATATACGGGATTTTAAAAAGTTATCACGGTGTAATTAGACAACCTACGACCTTTGCACTACGACCTTAATTGTTATCAAAATAAACCTACTACTTGATTGTCAATGACTATGCACACTTTTGTTTATACTGATTTTGCCTTATCCCTACCTGCTGCAATTTCAATTAGGTTCAGCAAATGTAATCTGGTTCTTCAAATGCTACATTAAAATCCAATTGTACTTGCTTCAATACTTACTTTTTAGTGCTAACTTTAACATTTCATTATCTACCATTAACATTACTTTAGAATTTTTTCAAATGTTTATAAACTCTAAACTGCCATTATAAAACTAGTACACAAATAACTAATTCAGACATGTTTTTTCTTCATCACATACTTCAACTTTAGGCTGCCAAAATTACACTTTTATACAAAATACTATCTGCCTTCACATACTTACTGCCTTTACAAAATGCTACTTGCCTTCACATACTAACTGCATTTACAAAATGTACTTTAAATACTAACTCCAGATTTGAATTCCATACACATTTCAAAAGTAGGCTACCAAAAGTTATAAAGAAGGCAGATTTTTACTCCAAAGGTTGTTCAGAAAATACTAAAGAAGGTAAATTTTTACTACATTGCATTAGAGTAAAATTCAATTAAGTGTATTTGTATGGGTTCAGCCAACACCTACACTGAAATGAATTTCACCCTCCACAAGGTACTCTAATGTTTCTTCAATTAGATCATCCGGAACATCAATTTGTTTTGGTAGCAGCCCCATGTAATCCAACTTCCTTTTTC